ATGAACCGTCCTGTGAATGTTTGGTCACTTTCCAAAGAAAGTGACCGACTCTGACACTGACTCCCTGTTTCCTCTGCCCGTAGACTTCCAGAAGACAGCGAGCAGAGTGAAAGCCTTATTCCCCTCCACTCTGTCTCTCACAGTGAGGACGACCTCTGTTCATGATCCAACATCCACAGTCAGTGTCAACCTCCACACACTTCTCTCTGTGCTGCTATAGAAACAGCTGTATTCTCATGCAATTAAGATTATATACACTCACCGGCCACTTTATTAGGTACACCTGTCCAACTGCTCGTTAACACTTAATTTCTGATCAGCCAATCACATGGTGGCAACTCAGTGCATTTAGGCATGTAGACATGGTCAAGACAATCTCGAAAGTAAAATCAGTGTCAACCCTCGACTTTAAACCCGTCACATCACCATAGAGATGTTTTCAGAAATGTGCAGGAACCAAACACTAAAACTATTTTTAACTGCAGGACCGTCTTTGTACAATAGATTCTTAGCAACGTGGCTTCTGACTGACATGTACCAGTTATTATTTTAGTGTCTAAAACCTGCAGGGGTTTTTTTCTGGCCCAGTTTAGGCTTTTACTTTTTCACGTGAAGGAGAAACTCGTCCCATAATCATCTTATTTCATCTTTGATATTACTGGTTGGTTAGTAACAGTCCAAGGACAAACTCCTTGACTAGATCATGATTTAAAATAACCCTGGGTCTTTGAAAACATTGTAACTTCTCTTTAACTGCACGTTTACAGTCCATTACACCAACAGCTGCGACGCAAATGAAAATGAAATCACACGTCAACACGTAGAGACCAAACCGACCACTGCCTCCATCAGGAATGAACGCTTTGGTTGTGACCTCTTTGTGAACAATCACGTGTATGTGTGTGACACGTGTGTTACTCACATATTATAATTAGGGCGCTCACTTTCACTTTCAGCCGTTTTTACCCAAAACTAATTTTAGGTCACATCATCATTTGGAGAAACCCAGGCGTTGTGTTAACGACGAAAAACGATTTTTACAAATATCACATAATTATGCTAATATCAGGCCAATAACATCGGTCGCCCGAAATTATAGGACATCTCTTATAAAAAATATAAAACTTTGTGAAAGTACGAGTAATGTGTCCTTCGCCAAACGGTTGCATGTATCGGTATCAGTCAATTTCGGAATCGGAAATAAAGTGTTTTTGACAATATCGGCATATGGGATTTTGGTAAAAAGTTGATATCGGAGATCCCTAGCCTCTGTATTACACACTTCATCTGGAGTAAGAAAATACACTAATATATTAGTGTATTAGTACATTAGCAATATTTCATTTCACAATACTGCATCAATATTCTACAGCGCTGTGTGGATATTTTTACTAACTGTCAAATATTCATTTTATTCTGCTTTTCTTCGTCCGTCCAGGTGGTGAACGTGGAGACCGCCGATCGGACAATCTGGACATTTTCAGAGACATTGTCACCACAGTGCCCCCTGTAAATATATACATATATCTTTTTTTCTGCAGCCTCTTTTTCCCTCTGTTTTCAAACCCCAGCCTTCAATCACTGAAGGTCTGGTCTTCACCGTGTCTAAAGACACATCCTGGTACTTCAGGTGCTGGACTTCTTCACTGACTACTGTGCTGTCGTGTGACCAAATGAAGTGGAAAAACTTGATCGTAACACTAACTGTTGGGGAGTTGTTTTTGTCTGTTTGTCTTTGTCTGCGTGGGATGCCGTATCTGTGGGTGGGTGGCGGGGATCGGGGGGGCGCTGTTTGAAGGAGATAAATATTTTAGAAGTTGACTGTTTTTTTTTGTTTTTCAATTGTTGCTGCTTGACGGAAGATGTTTGTTACTCACAGCCATTGTGTATTTTTTTAGACCTGTGTCGTGGAGCTGATGATGTAACTGTCACGGTGAACAGTACTAGTCCAGATGTGCCCATTCCAGTGAACACTATTCAGGTGCAGCAATAACACTAGGAACTAGGGATGTCCGATTTTATCAGTCAGCTAAAAATATTGGCCCGATATTAGCATAATTATCGGCTAAAAATATTCGCCCGATATTAGCATAATTATCTAATATCTGTAAGAATCGTTATCGGTTTTTCCTCCGATAACGAAACTCCGATGCCAAATGATCTGTGTCCTAAAAATAGTTTGGGGGAAAAATAGCTGTATATGAAAGTGAAAGCCAGTAGATGGCAGCATTGCAGCTCATGTTATTAATCTATTTTAATAATCAGGGGATTGTATGCAGAATGCTGGAGCCAGAAACTAGTATTTCATAATGTGTAGAGGGTGAAAAAACGTTTTCTTTCTGGGGGGGCATGGCAGAAAATAATCAGCTGGCATATCGGATATCGAATAAAAGTTAAGATTGGACATCCCTAACTAGGAATTGACGATAGGAACAGGTGATGCGGTGGTTGTCAGTGCCTTGTTTATGGCATCGTGTCATGTCATTTAAAACTTTTTACTTAAGTCTTACACCTAAGAAATTTAAAATCCTTTTGAGAGACCGGATACAGGAACTATTTTTAACTCAATAGTCACTGCTTTTTAAAACATCACTAATGATAATGTCACATAATGACAGCAGACTTAACATGTTTGGTACTGAAAAACTGACCTGAAATTGACATTTGTATAATATTCCTAGCACAATAATTAATAATTATAATTATCATTTATATTCAGAAACACAATAGGAATTCATTTGATTTTTGTTAGTATACTGTGCTGCACAAACATTTAAAGCATTTGTGGAAAAACAAAAATATTTTACATTATTCTGTGTACTGTCAACACCTTTTGGCGAAGTATTCACAGATATTCTTTAAATATTGTTTGCCTCAAACTTTAGCCCGTAATAATCATTGTTGTTGTGCCATGCTAGCATGTTGAACTTAGCATTGTTTACGCTGGTGTATTTGAAGCACGTCTGTGCTGCTGTAGCATCTCTTGTAGCATATACACGGCGGGTCAGCAGTTAGCGTGTGCTCACGTCTTAGCGGTATGTCAGCATCACACAGGTACTGAATGTATTTTACAAGGGCTCGGTCAAGCTAACCCACTAGACTAGTCCCCTTTGCCCTGCTTCTCAGGCTTTACCAGCAATTCCAAATCATGTGAGCCGTATGACTGCTGACCACGGTTCATAGAAAGGCACAAAAAAACAAATAGTGAGGAACCGATGTTCACAGAACCAAACCACGGTTCATAGAAAGGCACAAAAAAGTGAGGAACCGATGTTCACAGAACCAAATATGTTCTTGTCAGAGTGGAAAACTGACTGAGTGGATTTTTTTGAAATTAATTTCTGGCTCGTTGTACGAGACGATCCACAGACTCAGCTTTAATTGATGATAACTAACGATGTCCGATAATATGATCTGGCCGAAAACATTTCTGTTTGAGTGACTGTGATCTGTATCTGTGCTTCACATTTCCACGGTTTGGTTTTGTTTTAGCCTGTTTTCTTGTGATTGTATGTTTGTTTACAACAATGAACTCTAAAGTTGCCTGACGTTTGTGAAAGGTGCTGCAGTTTCCACGGGTGGTCAGCTGACAAAACATGTAAATGTAACGGTAATCCAACTTTATGCTGATGAGGCAAATACTTGTATTTCTTTAATGTGAATATTTAGATTTTGTTAGTTTTTTTGTTTGTTTTTTACGTTCAGATGTAGACAAAATATTTTAAACCGTTTTCAGGTTAACGTATCTCTGTATTCACTGTAAAAAGAAAAAATCAGAAATAATCAGAGAAGACAATCATTTAAGTTTGTCATCAACATAGCTTTTCACTTTTTGTTAGCGGTGGCTAAATCGAGTAAAGATCAACTTCCTGTTAAAATGATTACACACAGTGCAATAAAATACAACTACAGCTGTGACACGCAGCACCAACCTCGACCTCTGCATATACTGCATACCGTTTTTGCCCCATAACACTAGAGGCAGTGTAAGTACCACCAGTGGTACACGTACCATTGTTTGAGAAACACTGACCCCAGCACTGGTACCATCTGAAATGACGCTGGTCACGTGACTTGGTCCTGAAGACAAACGGTGACACGGATGTAATGTTAGCCTGTTATAAGCTAAAGCAATTTGAACTGCGATGTGCGGCTGCTGCAGCGCCACCTTGGTGTTGGTACTGTCCACAGTACTGTGTGCTGATGTTTGTGTCTGAACTCTTGTTTGAGCTTCTTGGTGTGTTTTTGTACATGGAAGAAGACTGAGAGACTGCGATGACATCACAGTTGTATTTCAAAATAAAATGATTTCAATGACACTATTTACATGCATTCTTCCCTGCGGCCACTGGGGGAGTCAGGGCCGATTTTTAACAGTGCGGTTGGGAGGTTGTTGGGGCCACAGCCATCACAGTGTCATTGATTTTTTTTTTTGGTGTAACTTGTCGTGATGTGAACAGTCGTTTGGAACCGATTCTTGGAGCCACAGTGGAACACGGACAGAGAAGGACTCTTGGAACAGACCTGGACTTCCTGGACAAGAGTCCTTCTCTGTCCGTGTTCCACTGTGGCTCCAAGAATCGGTTCCAAACGACTGTTCACATCATCAGTCCCCACATTCAGACACTCTCTGGATTTTATCATCTCTCTAATCTGTTTTTCTAAAGTAAACCAGTAAATTGACGGTGCGTTAGTCATGATGATAAGAAGTGGAACTGCTCCAACTGTTTAATGTTTAACTGCCCTGCCCTGAATGGAGGCGGGGAGGGGGGGGGGGGGGGCAGTTAAAGGTTGGCTGATACTTGGAGATGACGGTGCCTGACTCGGTCCTCAGACCTGCCAACTGAAGCTGTACACAGTAGACACAGTAAAGCCCTCGACACCAGGTCCACTCGCCTCCTGCTGGAGCCGAAGGAGAAGATGAGTCCAGTGGAGGCCCAGTAGTTTGAAGTTAAACCTTTGGAATTCAGCGACGATCGCAGTGACTCGCCCAGCGGAGCTGATAAGCCACAGAACAAATCAATACTCGGAAAATCAGTGCTCCGAGCGTCGGCGAGGAAATGGAGACGTCAGACGTGAAGGACTGGAGGAAACTTGAACCGAACTATCCTGTCAAAATCTTCCTGACAGTCTTCTACAGCCTCATGCTGGTGACGGGAATTGTGGGTAATTCAGTCACTATCAGAGTGACCCAAGTGCTGAAGCGCAATGGGTATCTTCAAAAGAATGTGACGGACCACATGGTGAGCCTCGCCTGCTCTGATTTACTGGTGCTCCTCATAGGGATGCCAGTAGAGCTCTACAGCGCCATCTGGTTTCCCTTCGCCTCGGCCTCCGGCAATGTTTCCTGTAAGATCTACAACTTCTTGTTTGAGGCTTGCAGCTACGCTACCATCCTCAACGTGGCCACGCTCAGCTTCGAGCGATACGTCGCCATCTGCCACCCGTTCCACTACAAAGCCCTGGGGGGGAGGCGGACCCCCGCCCTCATCACCTTTGCCTGGCTGCTGTCTGTGTTGGTGGCCCTGCCGCTGCTGTTCACCACCGGAACCCAGGGCTACATCCCGCTGCGGTCGGACACACCCGTGCAGAATCTGACTTTTTGCACCAACCTGAGGGAGCGCTGGGTCATGTACAGGGTTAGCATCTTTGTGGCGTTTATCCTTTACATGATTGTGCTGATGGGCGTGGCCTTCATGTGCCGGGCCATGATCCAGGTCCTGCAGAAACCTTGGGACTCTCCAGATAACGGCGTCCACGCAGCACCCAAACACGAGAGTTCAAAGGCCAAGACTGCCAGGAAGCAGACCATCGTTTTTCTGGGTGAGTTAAAAAGTTAAACAATTATTTTCAACAGGCTTCATTTTTAAGTCAGAAATGTGATGTTTGCTCTGATTGGATGTTGTCTTTGTTTGTGTGTGTGTGCGTATGTGTGTGTGTGTGTGTGTGTGTGTGTGAGAGAAATCAGAGAGTCAAAGTTCAGCTTCTGTTTGTCGAGCGCCCTCTGATGGACATGAACAAACACCAGATAATCCATTATGTGCCTTCACTGTTAATTTAGAAGTTTTCTGAATGATCTATGGCAGGGGTGCCCAACCCATGGTCCGGGGACCAGTGCTGGTCCGTGAAAAAAAAAAAAGTACTTTAGTATTTACTAATTAACTTCAAAAAAATGTACTTTAGTATTTACTAATTAACTTCATTCTCCAGTCATATCCCTTTACTTTTTCTAGTCTACCAGCTGACCGGTCCTTGATGGTCGGAGACCACTGGTCTGTGGGATGTAAAAGTTTGTTTCTACTAAAACATGAGTCGGAGACCACTGGTCTGTGGGACGTAAAAGTTTGTTTCTACTAAAACATGAATGACTTTGATTTTTACCATCAAACCGTGAAGAGTGGAGTCAAACAGGAAGTTCATTTAAACTCTGTTCATCAGGATGGACGTGAACAACAACTGGAACTGCTGTCGTTCCACACTGACACCGTACACAACCACACACGCTCTCCGGCAGTGTCCCTCCATTACCTTCCTCTCTGACTGACAGCTGCATGCTTTAACCATGAGCTCCGGAGAACTTTAGCCCATCGGCACTGAACATTGCTAAAGGCTAGCCTGGATGGGAGTGACAGACTGTCTTACCAAAGTGCCTGAGAGAAGATCCAGGTTTGGACTGAGACGGGGAGGGGTGAGGAGTGGGGGGGGGGGTCTGTCTGTGGACTGTGGATCAGGAGATGACTTTAAATCCAGCGTTGTCACTGTGTCCGGTTGTTGTTTATTGATGATGATGATGTCACAGATGAAGCTGCTGCTGCTGCTGTCACTGCTGATGCTGATGCTGCTGCTGCTGCTGCTGCTGCTGCTGCGTTCACTGGACTTCAGTTCGCTGGTGTGTCTGTCTGAGTGGTTTCCAGTGGTTCCACAAACATCTGGCTGTGACTCATTCACATTGATCCAGTGGATCTGATTGGATCAATGTCCTCACCACCGTCTCCCACTGACACAACAGCTGCCTGGACAGAACTGACCTGGTTCTTCAGGGTTTGGATTTGTTGGCGCTTCACGTCGTTCTCATGTTCCACGTTTGTGTTCTTCCTGACACGGACTCACACAGAACATATGGTTGTCTGTATACAGTATGTGTGTGTGTATATATATGTATAGATATATATCAAATATATTTACTATATATTCTAAGCTAATTTTTTCTATATTCGAAGCTTCCTGTCGTTCCTGTCGTTCCTGACGTTCCTGTCGTTCCTGACGTTCCTCTCGTTGTCTTCCTCAGGTCTCATTGTCGGATCCCTGATGCTGTGCTGGCTTCCCAACCAGATTCGTCGTCTGATGATGGCTGCTCTGCCCAAGTCCCAGTGGAGCGCAGCCTTTTTCCGGAGCTACATCACCCTCCACCCCGTGGCCGACTCCTTCTTCTACCTCAGCTCCGTGGTGAACCCGTTCCTGTACAACCTGTCGTCCAGACAGTTCAGAGAGGTCTTCCTCCAGGTGCTGCGCTGCCAGGTCACCGTGCAACACGTCAACAGGCGCACCCTCCAGAACTCCAGTGCGTCCGCCTCCGCCCGCTCCCTGCGGCCCCTCCTGAAGTCACTACGTCAGGGCAGCAGGACCCGCAGCGCCACAGGACGGGACAAAACCCAATCTCCTTTAACAACCTTTCAGAAACAGCAGGACTCAGGACTGGGTTCAGAAACAAACCCGCCCCCCAGTCCGACTGAACGGTCCGACTGTTCGGACGGACTGAAACAGACGGATGATGGATTGTCAAATATACCTTGAATATATTACACACAAACCAACATAATGTTTTTGTTTTTTTAATTTAATATTTGTTCTTCAGTTCCAACAGCTGCGACTAATGACCAGTCATTGTTTCTTCATCAGTTACTGTTTGGTCTTTACATTCAGGAAATTGATTCAAATTTAATTTGTGGTTAAAAAAAAAAAAACCCCAAAAAACTCTCAACGTCCGAAAATTATTCTTTGACGATAGAAGAGGCAGAAAACATATGTATGTGTATATGTATATATGTACAGTATATATGTATATGTATATGCATACAGTAAACTGTCAGTAAACTCTGGTTCTCCAGTGAAAGAATTGTTAAGAGCAAAGGAAAATAAACGTGTTTATTTAGAACAGGAGTTCTGTGTATTACTAACAATTCTCAGAAGTGTGTGTGTGTGTATATGCATGTGTGCGTGTGTGTGTGTTTAGTTGCAGTTGAACACAGAGATTGAAGACGACGACTGTTCCCTTGACTCCACCGTCACGACAGCGCCCCCACTTGTCAGGTTTCCACAGTGTGACCAGCAGCTGAGCTTGTCTTCACCTGTGACCGCAGGTCGTCGTCAGCGTCACCGTCACCGTGCGTGTGCGTGTGCGTGTAGCCGTCAGCATGCGTGTGCCTCAGCAGCAGCAGCTGCAGCAGGACGACACCGAGGGAGAACACCGGGAGCTGGGGTGTGGTCAGGGGGGGGGCAGCCGAGGGCGGGGCTCTCTTCTTCTGCCGTGGTCCGTTACACAGCGGGGTGGTGCAGCAGGTGATGCACACGGAGTGGAGTTTGCCGGTGCAAAACTGCTGGTAACCCGACGACGCGATGAGACAAGCGCCGGAGGAGGCGCAGGATTTGCGGTAGTGTATTCCTGCAAAAAGATGAACAGAAATATGAACAGAAATGATACATTTAAGCCCCTTTACAAAATATTCACCGCTGACTTTTTTCATCCTTCGAGTGGAACACATTTAAGCCCAGCAAAATTGCATGTCCAGTGACCTTTGACCTACTGAACTCTATAAATGTTACCATGTGTTACAGAACAGAACCAGTACCAGAACCTTACTGCCTGAGGAGGAGCTGGGATGGAACTGTCCAATGGTGAGCAGAACACACACACACACACACACACACACACACATTTTTTTTTTCAAGCCTTTCATTTTTTTTCTTCACCATTTAAAAAAAAATCCCCCCTCCTTCCACTAGAGGTTGCCCATGTAGCAAAACATGTACCATATTTTGAAAACACCATGTTTTTGGAATGATGACTAAATGTGGAAACAGAAGTTTATACTGTGTGACTGAAGGTCACTGTCGGGGTAGGGGGGTCGGGGTGAGTTGTGTAGTAGATGAAGATGAAGATGATGAAGAAGATCATGTTCTGGTTTCACGTGTTACTCCTGCAGCGTGTCCTTGTGGTGGGTATCGATCCTACACCGTGTATCTGCGGCGGCGTGAGCGTTAGCCGCTCACCCACACATGAAATGTCAGCAAAGGTCAGAACCACTGCCTCGCTGGTTCTGGTTTAAGAGATTTAATGAGCTGTCTCGGAGCACAGACAACACCGACAGACCACAGTCGGAGCTGCTGACTTTTCAACCGCTCGGCTGAAATATGGAGTTTCCATGGTAACAAAATGATCGTTTAGTTGTTTTCTGAATGGGCCTGTATAAAATACACTCACAGATGCAGTTCCGTTTCTTCACCAATCATCGTCTTTGTAGTAGTGTCATGCTGCTATGTAGTAGTAGCTAATTTTTCACTAGCCTGAGGACAACTCCCCCGTGTGGCTGATGTTCATAATTTATCATTGTTTGTGATTGTTTCTATTCAATAACTGATTTAAGTGTTTTTATTACGCTTGTTTTCCAAGAGCGCGGTCAGCTTTTATTTTGAAAGTATCACTTTTATTTTGAATGCGTATTTCAGTTGTGCTCTGTGGGAGAATTAGACAGTAAAGTGAAGGAGAGAAAGTTAAATTGTTAAAATCGTCAGTTACACGAAACACGGATTGACGTGGTTTTTTTTTACTTTTAACTTGTCGTTTTTTACGTATTGACGATAGTTCTGTTGACTCTGCCGTTTTTACATACGATCGTTTTCACGGTGGATTCTGGAGGCGGACATAGTTCTGTTGACTCTGACGTTTTCACGGTGGATTCTGGAGGCGGAGCTTCGAATTAACCCGTTATTGAAATCACAGGGGTTGTTCGTGCCTCGTGGCGCTGAGACAAGAGACATGGCGTGGAAGGATGAAAAACACTTTCGAACATGTTTTGTTTTTCGTTTTAAGGAGACGAGACGACAAAGGAACAGTGGTGAGAACAGATCTGTCTAAACAAACACTTTAGAGAAAGTTCTGGAGTCTATTTTTGTTGCGCTGACCTCAGAGCGGTTTGGTTGGAGCTCACAGCCGTATCCTGGCTACAGGCTGAAGTGTTGCTTCGCTCTCGGTCTTCGAGTGCTATTCTGGATTAAAGCGAACTTTAAACACGCCGGCAGCGTCAACAACTGCCGTGATGTCGCTGCAGAGCAGCTTTGTGTCGACGACATAGTCACTGATTCAAGAAATCAAACTGTCTGCCAGGCAAACGCCTCAGTACTGTTCATGTCCAGCAGGGCGGCGGCGGTGGACAGAAAAACTCTCAGGTCTCTTACACACACAGGAGAAGGTGACACAGTGACTCTCTCCCTCTCTAAATATATTTTTATACACGTATATAATTAAATATATACACACATATTTAATAAATATATGTACAAACATATAAATATGTGTAATATCTGTCAAACGATTCAAATTTTAGATCTGATTTATCCCCTTGCTTGTGATTAATCAATATAAAATGTATATTTATCGTATGAATCAACATTTTCACATTTGCAGACTACAGCGACACCTGCAGGGAGAGGGAAGGAGCGGAACTTTACCGTCCTCCTTCACCAGCACCTCCTTCTGACACATGTCCTGAACGTTGACTGTGCAGTTGACGATGAAGTCGGCGGTGGAGCAGTCGTGTGTCGTCTCCTCACACTGGTAACACTGGATCTGCAGAGCCAGACCTGAACACACACACACACACACGTTAATCAGGACACCTCCTCTCTCCTCTCTCTCCTTGTTAACTCCTCTTCTCCAAGTCTTTCTTATTGATCGTCATTCAAACCTAAACTCAAGTCACTTTTCTTTTCTTTTGAATGTCATTAGTATTTTATAACACTAATAATTAGGGATGTCCGATATTAGCATAATTGTTATATTTTATCATTATTGTTTTTTTTTTCCAATGATTTGTGACCTAAAAATAGTTTAGGGAAAAACAGCTGTATATGAAAGTGAAAATCACTAGATGGCAGCATTGTAGCTCGTTTTATTAATCTATTTGAATAATCAGGGGATTGTATGCAGAATGCTGGTCCCAACAACTCGTACAGTGGTTTGTACTGATAAATAAATAAGTATTACCAGGAACTCGGTAGTATTTCTATTCAGGGAGGGGGAGGGAGTTCTGTCCCCTAGGGGGAGCATGGCAGAGAATAATTGAGAAGCACTGCTTTGACCCATCACCTTAGTGCATTTACCTTCTTTAACCACCACTGCCCCGCTATATCAGTATGGTTGATGTCAGAATTGGAAATTAAGTGTTAGGACAACATTGGCATATCAGAAGTCAATATCGGACATCCTTACGAACGATAATAAAAATGAAATATGCGTTGAAGTACCGATGTCTGTCAGCTGATGAATTAATTCAAATTTGATCTTATTTTGACAAACAAAGTTTCAGCCCCTCACAAATAAAAAAAAAAACATTAGTCATCAGATGGAGGCATGTTGAAGCGCCCGGGGCAAAACTCTAACGAAACCTGCTTGACAATAACGGTGTCTTTAAATTGTTGTTTTCTCTTTTTCTTTTTTTTTTTTTTTCCAAGCTGACCTCGAGCCCTGACAAAGTGAATCTGTCCCGTCAGCTGCCTCCATCAGAACCTTCTGCTGCTCCACCGTTTCTGATCACAGCGCCCTGATCGATGGAGGAGACGAGCACAGCGGCAGAGACAGATTTGGAGACTGCGTCCTCTTAAGAGTGGAGCCAAAAATGTAAAAAGAATTTATGATTTAAAAAAGGAAATAGTTACACAAATAAGATAATGAGTCTAAACGCAGAACAGAGCAGAACTGGGACCTGGTTCTAGTTCTGGCTCCAGGCTGTGTGCTCTGCTCTTCTCCATCTTAAATAAAGAGCTGCTTCCAGCACCTTACCCTGAGCTGCTGCTGCTGCTGCCGCCGCTGCTGCTGCTGCGCACGTGTCTGTCTCTGGAAGTTCTGCTCCGACCAAACAAACAGAACCATCATGGAGATGAGAAGAGGAAACAAAAGGGAGTGAAATTTACCTGAAGTGGAGGAGAGCAGCAGGACGGAGACGATGAGGAGCTGCATCGTGCACTTAATCCAACAGTGAGCACAAACATGAGAGACGGTCAGACCACGAGAGCAGCAGCATCAGTGGCAGCAGCACAGAGTGCAGATGATGACAGCAACCAGCGTTGCTTTTTTTTTTTTTCTTTTTTTCCCTGCACAAGATGAATGTTGTCAGCCAATCGAACCAATAAAATAAATTAAAAACAAATTAAACAAATAATATAAAAATAAACACATTTAGAGTTAATTTTCATTTTATTTGTTATTTCAATTTTAAATTTATAATTTAAAAAAAAAAAATAACAATAGATAAATGTATGGAAAAAATCAAAATGAAAAAATTATACAAATAAGAATGAATTACAAATAAAAATAAAATTGTTCAGGGAAAGGTTTGGGGTCAGGGTTTGGGTTAAAATTTAAAATATAAAAAATGTTAGAAAAATTAGAAAAATAAACAAAAAAGGGAAATAAAATAAAAAAATAAAAATACAACCAAAAACCCTTTAAAGTCTTGATTGATTTTCATCGACTTTCAAGGACTGAGGGGCTTTCAAAGAATTTCATGGACAAATGGAAATTCAAGGATTTCCAAGGAACTATATTTGTTACTTTATTTTTCAATGTAATGTCAAATGGCTTTTTATTTGTTATTGTACCATTATTTTTAAAATGTCAAAAACAATTTAAGATTTTTTTCAATACTGATTTTTTTTTTTGGAATTATACAAATAATTTTAAAACATCAAACATACTTCAAAATCATATATTTATAAATCATATAATTAAAATATGAAAATTAATATAAAATAGCTATTTTGTTACATTTAACATTAAAAAGCATAAATATATAGAAATATAAAGGACACTAGCAAAGCGAAGACACGATATGTTCAATACTAAAATTATTTTTCCGTAAAATCCCAATTTTGCATGTTATATTGGTTTGATAGTGAAAAATTATGATGAAAATATTTGAATTTTTTTTTTTTAACAAAATTTTGTTTTCTTTGTTTCTCATCAAATTGGAGCATTCTTTTAGAAAAAACCTTATTTAGCCTGTCATTTTTGGTCAAATTTTTGGCAAAACATTTCTTCAAAATGTAATGTTTTCTGCATGTTTGTCATCAAACTCTTAGGTCTGTCTGTTTCTCTTTCCTACTGTATCTGCTAGGTGGAGTTAATCAGTAATCACACTTACCTGTGTCTCTATCGTTGGACTCACTGATGAACATCATGTCTGATTTCATGCCTTGAGAAGTCTGCGCCTTGTTCCCGTGACCAAGTAAGTTTTGTTATTTTTGCTCTTGTATATAAACCTGCTGCTCCTGAATAGAGTTTCCCTTTTTCATGATATTTTTTACAACATTTAACCAAAATTTACTTCTGAAATTAGGATTTTGCAAAAATTCTAGTAACATTTCTCAAAATGCTCTACTTTGATGAAAAACATACAGAAAAAATCAAATTTGGAATTTAAAAAAAAAATTATGTAAGTTTTTCAACATTTGACCAAGAGTGACATGTAAAATTAGGATTTTTCTGAAAAATTCCCCAAAAAAGTTATTTCAAACAAATTTTTCAAAATGCTCTAATTTGATGAGAAACGTGGAAAAGATTACATTTTTTTTCAAAATTTTTTTCAAAAAAATTTAAATATTTTTCTAAATTTTTTTCCTAAAAATTCAACAAAATTATTTTTCTTAAAATTAACAGTTTTTTAAATAACTTTCAAATTTTGTTTAATAAAAATAAAAAAAAATTATAAAAACATTTTTTTTTAAATTTTGATAAAAGTTGTTTTAAAATTTTTAAAATATTTTTCTAAAAAACATTTTTACAAATGTTTTTTCTATATTTAAAAAAATTAAAAAACAATTGTAAATTTTTTTTTTTAAATTTAAAAGTTCTAAAAATTCTAAAAATTAAGTTTTTTTAAAAAATCAACTAACTTTTTTTGAGCTTTTAAAATTTTTTTTCTAAAAATTAAAAAGAAATTTGTAAAAAACTAATTTAAAAAAATTA